TCAGTGTGTTGGTTTTCATTGTCAATACCATGCTTCTGTGGTTACCATGGCTTTATAGTATGGTTTGAAGTAAGATACTGTTAATTATTACTGACACATCAGATAGAGTGTTTTTGGTTGTTGGCTCTTCAGGGTCTTTTGTGATCTCATATAAAATTTATAATTGTTTTTTCTCATTACGAAAAGCTTAAAAAGTAGCAATTTTTCTAGTTCAGAATTTGTATCAGCAGTTATGTATTGCTTCAGATCTCTGGCTGACAGTAGGTTTAAAATTTTGAAAGTTGAATGGCAATGGTCATTCCATATTTGAAAGAAGAGTGGCTGAAGGACTTAGGTACTCATAGTCAGCACTGGGAAGTGCACAGCATTTTCTTCCTATTGCTTTTCAGAAAAACCTTTTATGCAACTAACAATTATAAAAATGAAGCTGTGGGCTAGTAATCATTTTTTGTGGGCACCACATGTTCTTGCTATGATGTTCATGTTTAAAACCCATGCTTTTGTTTAAAGATTCACATTCAGCTTGTGTAACTGAGAGTTTTCACAATATGCTCTTGCCCATCCTGATTTCAGTGGTAGTTGAGAAAGCTTGAGAGGGAGGTAAGTCAGCAGGGCTGTTTACCCACAACGAAGTACACATTTTAGGTTATAACTGACCTCTCAAATGTAATCAGTGGTCACACAGTTGATTGTGTAAAGGTAGAATTTTATTGAACACTGGATTAAACAGAAAGAGAGACATTTGTTTTACTCACTAATAGAAAGTCCTGTATGCCTCAGGACTACAATTTTATTCATTTAACTTCCTGGCAATAGCCTGATTCTCCTCTATAGTCAGAAAAGTGAAATTGGAACACTCAGACGTAAGAATCAGCAGGAACAACCTGCTTTAACTTGTTGCCCACATGTTATAATGGAACGATTTTCTAAGAGTGTAGTTGAGGCTAAGAGGACAGACTCAAACTCCGTTTCTAATAGAGAAACAGGCAACAGTGCCATGTGAATGTAATAAATGGAAATCAGATTGCTCCTAGATAATTAGTACCAAATGCTTGGAAAATCCAACCTCTAATCTATTGCCAAACCACTAGAACACAGCAAAAAGCAAACAGTACAGTCAAGTAATGGAAATTTCTCAGTATATTTAAATGACGATGAAAAATAAGGAACCAATTGCTAAAGTCAGTGAAAAGATTTCCATAATCTCAGTGTGACACAGGGATCCTTACATGCAGACTATTAAATACTGTTCCATTTGGTAGGGATGAAAACCATGACTGAACTAACGGAACTTAAAAGCATTCTGTCCTGGGCTAGTCAGTTACGAACAGTCATAGCTTAGGCACTCCTCTCATCATAACACATTGAAAACGCATTGGGAATCTGATGCACAATTAATTAGATCCATCAAGGCCACTTACATTCTAATTTTAGTGTGCTTAATGGGATTCATAACTCATTTCAATGCTTCTTTAAATAACATATACAGTGTGCCTCTTTTTTTTTTTAAACAAAATGATGACAATTTTAGTAATCTTGAAGCATTCTGTCCTTCGGTCTTCTAAGTTCAATATAAACAAATGAAATGTATAATCTTATTTCAGAGTTATAAACACAATAGGAATTTACTTTGCCAGCTACGGGGAACAGTTTGCAAGGTATTTTGTGTTCTTACTATGTGTCCTGTGAAAATACTATCCCAATTTCATAAGAACTGATGGAAAATATTTCTAGCATCACAGGTTTGCATTACTTCAGATTCATAGCAATCTATTTTAACAAAAGATACTTATATTTTAAAATTCTTTACAATTGTGGTTGTTTCTCAAATTCAATTTCAATAGTTTAGATCATATAACAAATCTCAAGTGACAATATTTGTAATAAATATAATTAACTTGCCTTTAAATTAAGAAATTTGGAACTTTTTAATAGATGTGAATTAATATAGCTGCCATAGATTATATAATGATTTATATCACAGCTACATACTATAATGAAAAATGAATGGGAAAATGCTTATTAATGTCTTTAAAACAAAAAATTTTCTTAATATATGCCTGAAACAGTAATTTCAAAATCTTTCGGGCTGACCAGACACTAAAGCAATTTGCCACTTAATTTTACATGTATATTCTAGCAATTTAGAAATTTTCTTGTAAAAATCAGTAATTTTCTTTTTCTATAGGTTTGTGGGAAGAATAAAATCTATTTGCAGACTTTCAAGAATATGACAGCAAATGATAGTCATGATGTTGGACATTTGTTATCTTTTTAAATTTTTCCTCCCGCCTAGCAGAAATTTTGTATTCCTGACTAACATCACATCCTTACCTGAAGCTCCTTCCTAACTCTGATCTAGATCTGGAAGCAGATTCACAGACTGATTCAGAGATTTATACAGATATATACTTGAGGCCCCCAAACTCCCAGTTCCGGGAAAGCTAATCCATTCTGGTAAGTGGTTATTTGAATACCTGTACCTAAATAAGAGACTGATAGAATTATGATTCCTTATGAAGGACTACACTATTGTAACAAAATGGGAAAAATCGGACGGGGGGTTGGAGTTTGGGGGGGAATCCCAGCCTATACAAAATTGTACCGCACAATTAAAAATTCAAAATAAAAATATATTTTAAAAAAACAAACAAAAAATATAAAATAAATGCATTAAAAGATTTTAAAAAGAAAAAAAAAACTTGTACTGTATTTATATAACTGAATCTACCATGAGAATTGCTAAATAAATGACTTCATTCACAGAGTCTATGTCTCTTTCACAAATTAACTTTCCTACTTACAGCATATAATGGTTATCTCAGCATCTCAGCCTATGGTCAAAGGAACATAGGAAAAAGCCACCTCCATATTCCCCTTGCCCCACATCACTTCTGAAACTTACCTAGTAACGAACTGTGTGAGATCACCAAAACACACTTGTAATCTCAACCCTGACTCTTCTCAGCTACCCAAGTGCTAGACTTAATGTACTTGGATGAATTAACAAGGAGCAGGTACATGTTTCATCAACATTTGCCAAACTCTTAGCTCCTGCTAACTATACCTTGCACCTGAGCATGATAGTCTTCGCCCTGCTTCTGTTAAGCAAGAAGAAGCACAATGAACATGACTGATTTTTGTTTGCATCCAAATAGCAATGCAGCTGGTTGCATTCTTTGGTCAAGCACAGGATGACTCAAAGTTATCTATGAATACGATAAATGTTAGGAACTCCTGATTCCTAGTAAAAAAAAAAAAAACAACCTTCTTTTTATTTAGGTTCATACTCCTAATTTTCTTCACTGCATGACTTTTTAAAAGACCCTAGAGTTGGGGTATTTCTTTGGGAAGCAAAAGTGAAAGGAGTCTGAGCCACTGCTCTGTACCTTGTGTGTGTAGGAATTGAGAAAAAAGTCATAGCTCTGGTAAGGAGCAAGCAGAAAAGATTTTAAAAAAAAAAAAAGCCTAAAAAAGGCCCTATAGAGGATCTCCAATTCTTCACTGTGCTTATCACTAGTACCTAGGACTCCCTCTCAGCCTCTCTTACTTCAGTTATAACTGCCCCATTATGAACCATATGCTATTCAATGTAAATCATAACTATTTCAGTATGAGAGATGAAAAAGTAACGAACACAGAAGAGATTTTTGACTGAGTTCTGAGGCATAACAAGTTTGAGACCCTAATGTAACTTCTTGGAAGCATTTTTATTTATATTGATTAACTGGTGAAATATTCTAGTATGAAACATAACAAAATTATATATATATGAAAGTTTTTAACAGGTGTATCTTAAGAAATGAACCAAAAAGAGCTTCCAAATGAAAGTTTGCGACGTCTTTTCAAAAGCCTTCAAACACAGTAATTATGGTTTAGTTCAAAGTATCATTCCACCAGTACAGATTCTTAAGTTTTTAAAATGAAAACTAAATGCAGGACCCGGAGAGGTAGCCTCATGGCTCAAGTCCTTGCCTTGCATTTGCCAAGGTCCCATATGAGTGCTGGTTCTAATCCTGGCTGATGCACTTCCCATTTAGCTCCCTATTTGTGGTCTGTTTGAAAAAAAAAAAAAAAAGCTTTAGAGGATGGCCCAAAGCCTTGGGAGCCTGCACCCGCAAGGGAGACCTGGAAGAAGCTCCTGGCTCCTGGCTCCGGATCAGCTCAGTTCCAGCTGTTGCAGCCACTTAGAGAGTGAACCAGCGCATGGAAGTTCCTGTTCTGTTCCTCCTCTCTCTTTAAGTCTGATTTGTTAATAAAAATAAATAAATCTTAAGAAAACAAGACAAAATGCAATACTTAGTAGAACCCATATTCTAAACAAAGCTATTTTATCCAAGTTACATTTTCCCTTGAAAAAAATGTTTTTTTTTTTTTTTACATTTCACCTCTCTCCAAAATGCCCCTTCACATAAATAATCTAGTAATGGACATAGCATTGGGAAAAGGAATTCAAAACAGTGACAAATTGGAAATACCCAACTTTGTACAAGTATTTAAATGTTGTTGGCCGAGACTACTGTTCATTTCAGTGTTGTAAATGCAACTGTCTCACTCCCAGTGGGAATCGTTGCTTTGTAATATGGGAAGTCATATTCAGATTGCCAACCCATTCCCCAAAAAAGAGACTGTGCACTCCAGAGGTGGATCTGCGTCACTCCTTAAGTTTCTCCTCAATAACAGCAATCAATAGGCATGAGGGTAAAACATGTCCCTACGAAGCAAAATTACATGAAATCCGAAGGGCAGAACGAGAGTTGCATTCTTCTAGAAATCATGGAGGAAAGAGAGACATGGAAAATAATTACCACCTGAATTATAAGAATCATTACAATTTGCAATTTACTTCGTCCACAAGCCTTCATCTCTATCCATATTTACTTTTAAACTGCTGCTCACAAAGCAGTATTGGAAATATTATAGAAATAATAATCTAGAAATGGCTTGTCATTAGAAAATATTGTATCTAAAGAAACTACACACCTAATCAATATACTTACTGCAGATGTTGATACTTGAGTTATTCTTAACTGATTTTCCAAATCCTGTACTTTGTTTTTCAGTTCCATATTTTCTGTTTCTAAGTCTTGGATCTAAAAAGAAATCATTATAGAACAACTTTCAGAAAATTTTTAATTTGAGAATTAATGGCTATTATGTTGACTACATTAATGAAAAAGATTAATATTATTTAAAATATTGATGTGCTCCTTTGAGCACAAGGAAATTATTGACTAACCCTTGGAGAATACTGGAGGACATTAAGTCACTGGAAAAACATATGAAATTTAAAACATTTTATGTATGACACTTTTTTATGTTTCCAATGCTGCTTCTATGTGTTTTCTTGCTGCACTCTGCAATGCATACCCACAATCGTTGAGGATAACCACAAGACAGTGAAACTGGCTTATGATGATTTGCATAGTGGAGAAGGAGTGTAATTTAATTATAAAGGAATCTGATCTGCATGGGAAACCACTTACCCAGCATCTGCTGCTTCTGCTGCTCTGATCCCCATGAGAAGCATCAGGAAGTGAAGCAAAGTCACATGAGAACACTAACTTCTTGTGGGAATTCAATATAAAATAGTTAAAAACTGTGCAGGGGATCAGCAATGAAAAATTATGGGAACACCGTGCAAGCAGTTCTAATCAGTGTGGGGGAATTTAATGGCAGGCCTTTTAAATCTGTTTGATGATTTGCAAGTTTCCCTGTATTTACATCACGCACATGTGAAATAACAAGCTCCGTTTACTCACTCTTTTCTGTAACCCTGCAATCTGCTTTCTGGTTTCAACATCTTTTCCTCCAGATTCTAGAAATTTCCTGTATGCCAGGTCAAATGCTTGGCCAATTGTTAACGTTATCTCTTCAGCCTTTATAAAAATCAAACAGAGATTGTTTTTTTTTAAATTATAATATGCCAAACTTTCCTTTAAATTAAGAAAAAAGAATTCACATGAGACACTTCAAAAGGGGAAGGACTAAGGACAGAGATTGTGTAAAGCAGCAAAGTAATCTACACTAACAGGATATTCAGTATCCACTGGGAAATGGTGGTTTTTGTTGTTGGTGGCGGTGGTGGTGTTTATTTATTTATTTTTTAATATAAAAGAAGAGACTATTAATGAATAGCTGTTAAAGTTCCAATTCTTTCTGCTGAACCTCTTTTTTATTGAAGTATTTCCTTTGGTAGTTGTTTTACCCTTGTCCTTGAATATTTAGTGCCCATTCCATGATAGCACAGTGCCAAGTGCAGTTCCTCTTGAAACTCCGCTACTTCATTCCTTTTCCCAATGAGGAGGTTTGGTCATGCCCTGGGCAGGTACAAAGAAGGAAGCTGACTGAGAAGTGTCTGTGGAAAAGTTGAGGTAAGTTCTCTTCAAATGGAACAACTGCAACTAAGTTCCAAGTTAATTTGGCCTGGTGGAAAGCAAAGATTCCCAGAAATTTCAGATTTAAAATAAAAGGTGAAGTCAGAAATCTGAAATTAAATATAAGAGCTGCCAATTTTAAATGATGACACGCTTTATTGGTAAAGCTTAGAATAGTTCATTGACTTCCAGTTTTGCACTTCACTACTTCCTTAGGGAAGTCTTTATCCAAAAATATAGTGCTTAATCTAGTTAAACACAAATACATCTCTAAAATTATTTAGACAACCAGTTGATCAAAGGAAAATGGCAATACACTGCAATAAGCGACAAATCACATATCAAATAAATAAATATCACATACCACCCAACAAATGTTCCATGATTCAACTTACTAAAATGTAAATATGGGTTTGGTATTTTAAAACCTGAGACAAAGTGCAAAATTAAAAGTAGCAGTGGGCCTGGCACGGTGACCTAGCAGTTAAAGTCCTCGCCTTGAACACACCTGGGATCCCATGTGGGTGCCAATTTTAATCCTGGCAGTCCCACTTCCCATCCAGCTCCCTGCTTGTGGTCTGGGAAAGAAGTTGAGGACAGCCCAAAGCCTTGGGAACCTGCACCCACATGGGAGACTTGGAAGAAGCTCCTGGTACCTGGCTTCAGATCAGCGTAGCTTTGGCCATTGTGGTCACTTGGGGAGTGAATCATGGGATGGAAGATCTTCCTCTCTGTCTCTCCTCCTTTCTGTATATCTGACATTGTAATAAAAATAATAAATCTTTAAGAAAAAAGTAGCAGTAAAATTGGTATTTGTGAATTATTGTTTCCAATTTTAAAATGAAAAACACTTGTATTTATTTAATAAATATAGAAACTTTTTTTTCTAACTCAAACTATGGGTTCAATTTGTCCTTTTATTAAAACTATGGTATTCTCCAATATGAAATTTATAAACTTATAGAGAACTGATTGATGATATTGTTGATTCATGACTCAACATCTGAATTCATATCAATCATAATAACATAAATATTTTTGAAAATAGACTTTATTCATGTGAAAGACACATTCAGAGATGAGAAAGGGATCTTGCACCTGCTAATTCTCCCATATGCCCACACTACTGCAGCTGGACCAGGCTGAAGCTGATGGAACTCAACCCAGCCCTCCCGCATGGTTTGCAGGAAGCAGTGTACTTGAATCCTCCCTTGCTGCCTTGTAGAGTGTGCAACTGTGGAAAACTGGAATGAGAAACAGTACAGAACTGAAAAAGCAGACACTGCAATAGAGCACGCAAGTGTCTTGAGACATACTTAAGCCACAGTACCAAATGTGTACTTCATAATCTCTTTTATAAGAAACATTCATAAAAAATTTAGCTGTCTGGTAAATATTTTAAATATATTATCCTACTTACTCGCATAATAAACCTAGTAGGTGAGAATCCTCATTATCCCCACAATGCAGATTGCAAAGCTGCAACTATGGAAGGTTCTATGAGTGGTCTAAGGTCTGCTAGTGAATGGGGTGTCCATCATTCAAGCCTAGACATTTTGACTCTACCATCCTCCCAGTTGGGGAGGGCGTGAGGAACATGCATGTTATTTTTTATGATCCTTATCTATACTCTTGAAGAATAGAATTTTTTTTTCTACTTACTACATGTTAAATTCTGTACTTAGCAGAGGTTTAAGATTGTAATCCTAAGTCACTGAAAGAAGAATGAGAAAGAAGGGTGGTAATGTGGAAGAGAAGGATAGGGTGGAAATATCATGACATTGTTACCTCTATCCAAAATATAAAACAAAAAATAAAAATAAACAAGCACACATGTGTGATCTCACTAAGAACATAACGGAGACCAGAGTGCCAGGAATCAAAGAAAATCAACAGAATGAGTCTGTACTAGCGAATAAAAGTAGGCTCCCCTGACACTTCTAAGTATACCTAAACAACAAAGCATTAGACTTTCTGTCATTGTGTATACCAACAATGTCATGACCCACGTAAAGGGAAGAAAGTTGGAGTCAAGACTGCATCTGATTTACTATAAAACTTAAGAGACTATGGGGGGGGGGGAGAGAAAGGGATGGGATGAGGGAGAGGGAGGAAGCCTTATGTCTACAAAATTTTAAAATGGAAAATAAGGATTAAAAAAAACCCCTATATATAGAAATGTATATATAAATGAAACACAAAAATGATACAATCTGAATTGTTATATACTGATAGTCTTCTCACTAAAGATACATTTATATATCCCTAGAAGGTCTCTAATGCTTACTGTCTAGTCACAGTTGCTGTAAACCACCACTGTCTTATCGTTACAGATCCAGCTCGCTCAACCTTGATGTCCTTAAAACGGATCATAACATTTGTATACTTCTGTCTCACTTTTTTTTTTTGCCAATGCAATGTTTTGAGTTTTACACACACTAAGTCGAGTCCATGCATTTTACTGCTGACTAGCATTCTATGTTATAAATATACTATGGCTCATTTGCCTCTTCGTGGATGTTCATTGTGCCTTTCAGACTTTTGTTATGAATAAAACAGTTACATACATGACCGAAACCTTTTTGTAGATATTACATTTTCATATTTCTTAGACAAAGTCCCAGAATGTAACTACTAAATAACGAAGGCACACATTTTAACATTACAGGAAAATGCCAAATTGATTTCCAAAGGAATTATGCCCTTTTGCATTCTGACGAGTAGGAAGAACAAGTTACTCCACCTTATCACAGTACAGTAGTCATTGTACTGCGTAAGGCTATATCAACATCGTTTTGATTTGTATTTTCCTGTTTCATGATGTTGGTCTTTTAAATATTATCTTCAGTGAACTAACTCTGTGTTAAGGCTCTCACCCATTTTTATTAGATGTTTTGCCTTTTCTGTTTGTTTAAGGAGGATTTTTACATATTCTCAATATAAATCTCTTTACAGACATATTGAGACTATAGTGGCATAGTCTTTGCCTTGCCATTTCAAGCTATGCTTTGTTTACATACTATCAAAAGGTTTATTTCTATTTACTTTTTGTGAAGGGGAGAGAATTATTTTGAACTTCCGATGCACTCTCCAAACACCTATCGTGTGTAAGCTGAAGTCCGTCTAGGCCTCCCAAGTGGACCACAAGGATCCAGTCACTTGGGCCATTTCTACACCGTCCAGGAAGCGACAGCCAGGGATCAGAGGCAGGGATCAAACTCAGGCACTCATTACGAATATCAGTTTCTCCATGGGTCCGTTAGAGGTTTGAGCATGTGCCCATCCCAGGAAGCTTTCATTTTTTATGAACTCATTGTATCTTTGTGGGCAGAGGGGTTATGTCTAATACTTTCTTGTGAGGGGAGTGTCATTTGTAATAAATCCTTGTGCTTTAGCAGTTTATAAAGATATTGTTTTGTTTTTATTGAACATTTTGTATGACTTCAAAAATTTTTATTATTATTTCTAAACGTCATCTCAAATTATTTTTAAATTGTACAAGTAGTAATTAATTACTTATTTTTCTCACCTATTCATCTAGTTATCCCCAAGCCATTTAGGTCCTTTCTTCCATAGAATCAGTTTGTAATATATGTGAAAAACAAACTGATTATGCTTGTGTGTATTTATATCTTAGAACTCTAAAACCTAGTTCATTTATCCTTTAATGAACATCACATTAATATCACCTTTTCTTGATAATACTCTTAGAAGTAAATTCTAAATTTACGTAGAATGTGTCAACTTTGTTCTTCCCTTTCAGTATTCATTTTTCTTACCCAAGTTGTTTATATTCACATTAGAAATAACATTTTATTTCTAGTAAAAATTCCACTTACGTTTTTATCACAATTGAACTGAAATTCCACAAGAGTTTGGTAGAGTTAATCATTTAACTGAAGAATTTATGAATATGTATTCTTCCTTCCATTTTTTAGGTCTTTATATATACTCTGTACATTTCAGTACAAATGACTTTATGTTTCATGAAATCCTAATTATTTCATGCTTGTGCAAGTAAGTAGTTTTAATTTTGATTTAAAAAATTTTTAAAATACAGCATTTTGAGGGTGGGTATTGACTTTGTATCCTAAATAATTGTTAGCTCGTTTTCAAAATTCTTGTATTATTTTGTGGATCTTCAGTATTTTTTTTATTAAAAATTGATGTATCTGTAAATAAAACAAATACACATTTTTCTTTTCAATCTTTTTGCCATCTTCCATGTGCTCAGTCACTAGCTAAATTACCCAATGCTGTGTTACATAGAAGTAGAGAGAATGAATACATTTGCTTCCAATCTCAGGGACAAACTACTTCATAACTCTTCACTAATTGTGATGTTAAAATAAAAAAGAATAAAATAAAACAAAATAAAAAAATACGTTGTTTTCTTATATGTTTTTAATATTGATATTTTAATATCACATTGCATTTCAGTGATTATTCTAGAGTTCAGAAGGTATCTGTGAATGTATCATAACCTATTTAGAACGAATATA